AGCAGTGGCTGACTTGGGGAAGTCTGGGGCAGAACAGCTGGGGTGCTGCCAGGTTGGTCCTGCAGCGCTGAGGGGCAGCGCTATGGGACCAATCCAGCACCCCAGCTACTCTGCCCCGGGTGTCCTCAAGTCAACCGCTGCTGAAACTGACCAGCGGCTGACTCGGGGAAGCCCGGGACAGAGCAGCTCCCATTGTCCCGCTCTGCCTGGAACACTTCCGGGTGGTGCTGGACTATCAGGAGTGCTGGACCACTGGATGCTGGACAACTGGAGTTTTACTGTAACTTAATATTAATTGACATGATGATTAATAATAGCATAAATGAAACCTTATACTCACAGACTTTATTTAATAGTACTTCTGCTGCATCTTTTTGCACATTTCTTTGAAGTTTACATCATAATTGGTCAAATCCAGCTTTATGCACGCATCCAAGTTGTCTTCCATCAATCTTACGGCAGGGGGTTGGGGATGTGGGCATGCAGGAGGAGTCTGGATTGGGGTGTATGATGGGCTTGGCACAGGATTGAGGGGTGTGGCAGGATGCGCAAGTATCATGACGGGGGACTGGGCATGTAGGGTCAAGGAGTTTGGGGATGTGGGGGTTTTCGAAAGAACCCTTATTCGTGGAAAAAATGAGGTTTACAGGGTTCTTTCGAAAAAGTGTTTGTTTTTTAAAAGAGCTATGTCTAGATTGCTTTTTTTCAAAATAACCTTTTTCAGAAAAGCGATTGGATGCAATTATGCAAATGAAGTGCGAGATTTGTAAATCTGCACTTCATTTACATTCCTCTTTTAAAAGAGGACTATAGTCTAGACGCACCCCCAGTCTTGTAGCAGGCTGCATGACTGGAGCACCAGTATGGGCTCTCTGCTGCAGAGGAGCTGAGCTCGAGCTGCAGAAGAGCTGTATCTGCCTCCCTAGTGAGCCGTAGGTTGTTGACCTCTGTGCTACAGTGTCTATCAGCAATGGGCAAGTGGCTAGTGATTGGGCAGCAAAAGTGGCGATCTCACTGAACTACATGATTGTTGTAACCAAGATGGTCTCCCAAGATAGGCAAGTCTTGATAACTGTGCTTGTGTACTTCAAATCTGTAATATGTTAATTAAATCATTTTGCTATGACTAGCTGCAGATGGAGCACCCAGCTTTCATAGTCAATGTTGTGTGCAATCTGCATGCACCTCACTTCACACGCCCTTGCTTTATGTGTGTGTCGCTTTAGTAATATCCATACCAAAAAATGAAATGGAAAGAACCAGCGGAATTTGGCAACCCTTTGCATTGGCAATGGTAAATAAAATGTTTTGTGGGCAGCACATAGAACCCTGATGGGCTGCATGTTGTCCCCCATTGGTCTACATGGTTTCTGTACATGGATTGTCTGTGTTTTTTGGCAACAGCATAAGTACAATTGATTATCTCATTATATGGGAGACTACAGTGAAACCAGTCACAATCTTTTCTTGATAGTGTGTGGAAAAATTCACACAAACTGGTACAAGTAGTAGACAAGTGTGACTGTGAAGCTGCAAAAATTGGCAGGGGGTCTCTGGACATGTGTAATACTTGAAACTTTTTTAAAATCACTAGTCCAGTTAATTCTTTTTCGCTAAAGCAGAACAATCTTGGCCTTTGACATTACAATTTTGTATACCCTTTTGCTGGCATTTGTGGACCTACTTTAACATCCATTACAAGATGGTCTTATTTTGGGTTACAGTATAGCAGTAATGATATTGGTGGCTTCCCGCTCCCCACCTTGAAATGTTCCAGCTCTGCCTCACTGTGTTCTGCTATTTCTGTGTCTTTTGTTCAGTCTCAGCATATTTGAATACCTATCCAATGAAACTTTTGCCCCCTCCTTCTCAGTCATCTTGTGATTGTATGATCTTGAATTGCTTAACTTACAGCTGCAAACTTGGGGGTGATAAGAGAGCTTTTGTTTACCCATCAGAGTTGAATTATTTTAAAGGATAATTACATTCCCCTTTGTTTTGGAAGTCTATGGATAGATTAAACCCTTAGTGAAAAGTGTGAAGGAAAGGGATGACTGGTAACTTTGAGTCTCTCAACTGTATACATTGGAAACACTTTAATTTATTGCTGTTCAGTTGCTATGTGAGAGGAACACTGTTCACTTCGATGATTTCAAACTTAGAATAAAAGTACTTTCAGGGACGACTACTGTCAATTCCTGGGGCCCTACAACCATATTTTTCTACTTCTAAAACATTTTTTTCTCTCCTGTTTATATAGGTGGACAAAACCACACAAATATGACATCAGACAATACTGAAAGTAACTTTACAAAAAGTGCTGACTAATGCATAAAGCAAACTGGAATACAGTTCTTAGATTTCAGTTAATCATAGGTGTTGCTTGTAAATATCGGGGGGGAGGAGGGGTTTCCCAACAAGAAGTTGTTGGCTTTAATGACAATTAAAATTATTTAAATGTAGTTTAATAATGCCTCTTCTTTTTCAGGACTTCTTCAGACATTTTAAGGATATGGCAGCTGTTCTTGAGACTGTTTGAGCATAAAACTGCTAAAAAAAAATACTTACTTCAAAGACATGCTTTACTTGATCCAATTAAGCCTTCCTATCTTGCACAAGTAATTAAGTGTCAATGTTTATGTAAGGTATGTGTTCTCATTGTCCTGTAAAAATATTTTCCAGTGTATTCCTTTTTTTATCACACTGAAAGTTTAAAAAAAACAAAACCCTACTAAGTACATGCAAGAGTTGGTTCTTTCAGTCTGAGTACAAGCGTTTTAGCTCTATAAAGGCAGAAGATTATGCTGCATAGCTAAATGGTTTTTTTCCCCACAACTGCAGATTTTTTTTAACTTTGCAACTACAGAAGCTACATATATAAACCGCAATGTGGAAACACTCAAGAAAATGCTAAGTGAGAAGACTCTTAGAAGAAATGTAAACCCCATGTTTACAATTTTATCAAATCATGGTGCCATTGTGCACATGAAATCAATTATTTAGCTATGCAGAGCGCATAAAATTATAGTCAGCGAGCCATGAGGAATAGTGAACTGATAGATTTCAGTTGTATCAAGGAGGTTGAAAGCCTAATTTTTACTTGCTTTTTGTTAATTATTGGAGAATATCTTCCTTCCTTCAATTTAATAAATGTTTAATGTAAATTTAGTATGCTGAAATAGTTTCATAAATCTGGATTTTCTGTGTCTATGGCAGTAAATGTTTCTAGTGACAGAGACCTAAAATCTTAATTATGTGCAGGGAGGTTAACATGGACTAAGGAGAACTTATTTTCAAGTGAATGTATGTTTTAAAAAATATTTTCAGAGCAAATATATAAGATTTATAGCAAGTTACTTTATTGCTAATGTATGTTCTCTACTAAAACCAACTTTAAACTTGTGGTATTTACTTACTATTCTGATCAGCAGATTCATTTCCTAATTAAACTGGAAGATTCCATTTCAAGACCAGAAATGGAAGCTTAAAGTCAGACTGATAAAAATGTATATTACTTATATATCATAAGTACCTAAAAGGATGTTACAGGGAGGAGGGAGAAAAATTGTTCTCCTTGCTTCTGATAGGACAAGAAGCAATGAGCTTAAATTGCATCATGAGAGAGTTAAGTTGGACATTAGCAAAAATTCCCTGTCAGGGTAGTCAAATGCTGGAATAAATTGCGTAGGCAGGTTGTGGAATCTCTATCACTGGAGATATATAAGAGCAGGTTGGATAGGCATCTGACAGGGATGATCTAGGCGGTGCTTGATCCTACCGTGAAGGCAAGAGACTGGACTTGATGACCTCTTGAAGTCCCTTCCAGTGTTCTAGGATTTTGAGACAGTTTTAAGAGTCTTAAGTGTCTCTTTGAGCTGCAGTACCCGCTCTGCTAGTAGTTCACAGGTCTTCATTACTGTCTGTCCAGAGATTTGTTATCCTGGTCAGTCAAAAGTCAGATTCTGACATGGCCACCTATGATCAAGAATGAAGGTAATTTCACATGTAGAATAATAGATCCAGCTGTCCATTTTTGTGTTTTCCTATTAACCAAATAATTAAAATGGAAGATAACTAAATGGAATTAAGCATACTGAAAACAAATTACTCTGATGTAATAAATATGCTGTTGGTATTCAAGTCAGATGATGTTCTGCTTGTGCAGTGGAACAAATAAATCATATATGAAAACAGAACGGATATGGGTTAGTTGACTTAGTCTTGATTAGACTAAAGAGCTGGAAGTAGGCTGAGGCAAGCAAGAAGAAAAAAAAAAAAAAGGGCAACTGTCATCTGTGTTCCAAGCTGTTGGGCAGCACAGCTTCACAGGTGATTGATCAGCCCCACCCAGTCAGAGGCTCAGGGCTCCTTGTATGGAGCTGACTGACTGAGCAGGATTGATGAATCCCCTTTGAAGCTGTGCTGCCCCACAGCTTAGAGGGAACACTTGACTGTCATCCATATCTCCTGACCGAGGGACTACATCTACCATTTGATCTAGTTTTACAATATTGAAGGTGGTTGAACAAGAAATGCTTTTAGAACTGGGATGGATGGGCAATAATTTTGCAGGGGTGCACTTGCATTTTTGGTACATGGCTACGGGACGCCTCCACCCAGAAAGGGGCAGGGATTGGGGTGAAAGGGCGGGGCTGGAAACTAGTCTTCTGCCTGAGTTGTCTGGGGCTGCAGGCTTTGAATTAAAAACACAGCCATGGGCTTGCAACTCCCAGTCCTGTTGCTACCACATTGCCTGGCAGCCACCCGGGGTTGCTCTGGCTATTTAAAGGGATTGCGGCTTTAGCCCCTGTGAGGGTAGTGCCACAACCAGGAGCTGTGAAACATTTAAATTGGATCCTGTTGCCTGAGCCACCGCCTGTAAATAGAGTGGCAAGGGTAGCAGCATATAATTAGAAAGCGGACAGATGCAGTCCATGGGACGGATCAAAGTGTTTAGTAGGCTGGATGCGCTCCCCAGGCCACATGTTGCCCGATACTGTTTTAGAAGATCATGTAGTAGTGCTGACGGGGTTGTGGTTTGTGTGGCTTTTTTTGTTGTTTTTAAATCTAAGTGGCTAAAAAGAGTTCAAGTTCTTCTTGCTGATTAGCTTTGTTGCTATCTTTGCCTTTTGTCACTTCAAGACAATATGATTACCGTGCACTCCAGGTTTTGGGAGCACTTTGGAACCATTCAAACTCTAAGCTTTGCTGGATGTGTCTGCTCCTTTGAGGATAATGCAGGGATGACAAAGAGTTGCACTGAATTCCATATGAATTGCAAGGTGATGGACCTAACCTTAACAATAGTTTTGGAACCTTACTTGAGGAACTCTCTTGTGCAGTTCAGATCAGTAGATTTGTACAAGTGGCACTTGATTGATCTGAAAATGAGAGGGAGCTGATTTGCAGGACATTTTCTAGGAGGGGGCTTAGCCTCTAAAATATACTTCCTTCCTCATTCTGCCAGGCCCTGGGTTTGTTGATTTAAGCATATTATAAAATCAAGGGCTCTGAGTTATTACACAGAATTCTTTGTCAGGTATCTGACTGACTACTGGTTCTTGCCCACAAACACAGGGTCCAACTGATTGCCATATTTGGGATTGGGAAGGATTCCCCCACCTCCTCCCCAGATCAGAATTTAGGGGTTACGTTCTACAAGTTGGTAGATGAAGGTCTATGGGCTGCAATGTGCTGCTTAGACTAGATGTTCAGGATTGTCCCTTCTGACCTTCAAGTCAGAGTCTAAAACTGTCAATCATAGCTACGTAAAAACTCAGTGATAGTAACATTAATCAGTACTTTGTGAAACATCTCTGTATGCCAGGAAATTGAAACTTGCTGGAAGAACCCCAGAAGCCTGTGTTTGGTATTACTGTTCTGATAAAACTCACTGAACTCCTTATTTTTTTTTTAAATAGATGTTAACTGAAAGTTGTCTATTGAGACAAATCTCAGATATTTTATTTGGTTCTATGTAAGAATTGCAACATTAAACAGTGGAGCGTTTAAATACTAAATTAAAATTGTTTTAGAAATTGAATTGTGTGGAATAGTAATACTAAAAAGTTAGATAAAACTTTACTATTGCATATTGGTGTGGAATCAGAATTCTTTATTCTGTTACAAATCTGTCTTGTATTTAATATTTTCTGTTTTAATACAGATTTCTATATACCATGCACATTTTTGTATGTTTATAAACTAAAAAATATTAAATATTTGGATAACAAATTTAAGTGGTATAGATGTGCTCATGCCGGTTCTTACTTTGTTGCATGAAAGTCTGTCTTTACTCCCTTGTGGACACTTTTTTAAATAACACTAAAGCAGTCTTCTTTCCATACTGAATTAGACAAAACTTGCCAAGCAGAACTGTTCCATTAGTTTATCTTGCTGATCCTACACTGAAAAGAGTAGGGGAATGGAGGAATTCAAAGCTACATTACAAAAACTACATGGATTATTTACACCCTTAATAGTACATTTCCAAGATATTTATAGTATATGAACCTGGAAGATGGCATAGGTGCTGACATCATGTGGGACTGGGGAAAAACAGTGGGTTCTCAGCATGTACCATTAGCACTCCCACTCAACTTCTCTTCTCCCAGTGCCTCTGACCAACTTGTGGGCCCTGCTGATCAGTTCCTCCTCGCCAGTATCTCCTACTGGTCAGGAGCATGCAGAAGGTACTGTACTGGAAGGGAGGAAGAGAAGCAGTGGGTCAGAAAGGTGGGATTGAGGTCTTGGGGGAAGGATTGGAGTGGGGGGAAAGCCTAGGTGGAATAGGGGCTCTAAATTTAAAATCTCAAATTAAAAAAGCAGTCATGTCAGGGAAGATTTGTCCTTAAAGAACCTAAGATACTTAGTATTTCTACTCTGATACTTTGAAGGATTGAGGTAAACTTTGTGAAGGGTTTTTTCTAGGATCATATTCTGTCCTTTAGAAGATTAACACCCTTTCCTCTTCACCTTGGAAAAAGCCTTTGCTCTCCAGGATAGGAATGTGAAAGGTTAACCTCACCCTTAATGGTTAAGGTTGGGTGGGTGACACCAGCTGTGGGCCTGCTATGGACAGGAGGAGTTCTGGCTGGCCCAGGTGTGCCCTTCATAGGCAGGGGCTGCTCCCATCTCTCTCCTTCCCCTTTAATTGATTAACTGGCTAAATATGATGTTTAACTGGCTAACCAATTAAAGGGGATTTTACATCCCTGCTCCAGGACTTTATAAAAAAAAATCATTGGATCAATTATGCTATCAGCTAATTAACTTAATCTGGATGTGTGTTACTGAGAGCCACTGGTTTTTATTCTCTTGTTTTGAAAGTTCCTCCCTATTGTCAATCTTTCCTTTGTTTTTCTTTGTAAAAATGTTTTAAAAGGAACTACTTCTGAATTTCAGAATAACTAGCTCCATTCTTCCCCCTCCGAATGAGCAGTCTTACAGTCCAGTTCTACTTCCCTCCTTAATTTAAGTAGATTAGACACTCATTTTTGAAAACCTAATGTCAGTTGTCTAAAGTTTAGGTTCAAAGCTTTAGGCATCACAGGACATGTCTACACTAGGAAATTATTTCAAAATAAGTTACTTTGAAATAAAAACTCACAAGATAACTATTTGAAACAGTGCCCACACTACAGGGAAGCCTTGAAATTAGTCCAAGGCAGGCTTCCTTAATGTTGACGGGCTACCTCAACCTAGAACCCAGGAAACTCATGGAATTCTGGAGCAAACCGCTCACCTGAAAATCAAAATGATCATCTGGAAATCAAAATGTGTAAAAGGCTATTTGATCCACTCATTAAGAATCATTTGAATTAGAATAGATATGTGCTTTTGGTTAGCTGCCTGGAAAAAAAATGGTGTTTAAAGACATGACTATATGTCTCTGAATATGTCCATATCAAAGTCTCCAAAAACATAGTGCAGTTTGAGAATATGCTGACCGATTCTCTAACATTTCTTAATTCTTTAATGCTCTAAGCCAGTGGTGGTGCCTCTCGAACAGATACTCTTGGGATACTTCTAATGTTAACAGCTTTCAGCAGTTTTTTCTCTTTGCAGTAAAGATTGGGGCAGTTTGGGAATTTGGAGAGTCTCTCTCAGCTGTCAGGAGCTGCTATTTATTAGATTTTATAGGTTTCCTAGTAACTTTTTCTGGTTAGGTAACTGAGACTGGTAAGTGGCAAACTCCATCTAGTTTCACTAGGAATCCCTGTAACTTATTGTTAAGAATGTACAAATGTCCTTTTTCCTAAGTCTGAGTGTTTATACATGTCGGAATGTAAAATGGAAATATGTTGTTAATTTCATACTGTGTGCACAAGGGACCAGTTAGAGTACAATTTTGAAGTAATGTTTTATGTTAAAAATGAGGGGGATCTTAGTTTTAAACCATTGAATATTCTTGCATTTTATAGTAGCAGTCACTAGGGGGTGCTGTTATGCATGATAATTTTTCATACATAAATAAAGTTAGTCTTTGACTAAGTACTGTGGTGGTGAGTGTAGTAGTTCTTTGAGAGAGATTGTAGCAGATGCTGAAGAATTCACTCCGCTTTCTTCTTTAGAGGTGAAGGTATTTCCTGAGAGACTAATTTCTTGAGAAGCTGAGTGCGGTTGAGCTGAGATTTCTGGAAGAAGGGATTGATTGCCTGAACACTGTATGTAATTACCTGTTAAAGGACTATTGTGCAGCTGTAAATAAAGCAAGTTACATTTGCAATACTGCCAGACTTCCATGTCATTGCTTTCTCCTCCATTGGAAAATCATCCTATAAGGTTCCACACACTGGTGTTGAAAGAAGAGATCACACTATTTATAAATGTCTTTGGGATGAATAGGAGCAGTAATACTCTTGTGGACATTGCAAACATTCAGATAACTAAAGCTTTTTTCACAGTGGTTAACCTGTGAAACTCAACCCTATCTGTTTTGCTTGTAAGGCCACACAGGCAGGCTTGCTCACTCACTGTCAAACTCTCTCAAATATATAGTAGATTCACACATACAAACTTCCAGGTGTGTGTAAAATAAATAAAAGTCCAATGCCTTGATAAAATAAATACTATATACAGCAGTAAAAGTGATGTACTGTAATATCATAGTTACTTATAACAGTAGTTATGCTTTATACTTTTACATTTTTTTCCCTATATTTCAAAGTTATGGAATAAATGTGTACTTCCTTGTCTTACATTCATGAAATTTAACCATCCTATAAAAATTCTACCATATTGTATTATTCGGGTTATTTATTTCAAGGCCTACTACTGTCCCCTATGGAGTGCTGGTGTAGTCCTACTTGTTACGCTTTTGTACAAAATACTGTGCCCTCCTTTTCAAGCACTGTTTGTAAAAGGATGGTATCCAGCACTATGACTTCAAAAGATATGATTCTATGCTGCCCTCTTAGTTATCTGTAGGATACCTGTGTGTGACCACTAATTTAATCCCAGACTTGAAAAGGGCTGAAAATGTTAATAAGCAGAGCTAGCTTTGCATGTTTTGGCTGGGAAAGGAGGGATTGCAAAACAGCATTTCACCACATTCCTACTCCACAGACCTAGATCTAACATGGTCACAGCTGTATGCAGGAAGCCATGCTAAAAGTTTTGTGAAGAATTAGTGGAAAGACTTTTTGTAATCTATTCTAAACAAAACTGACTCCATTATTTATGGTGGGTGTCTATTCAGTGGGAGATGTTTAGGTCCTCCTCACCCTCCTACTACAGAAATATTCCAGCTACCTGTTCTTTTTAACCATTATAATTAACTTGCATTGGCTTACATTTTCAAGGCTGTATTTACTAGAAACTTTTTTTAACAAAAGGTAATAATCATCTTATGCTGGCCTGTGTCTGTGCTGTTAAAGTGGTGCATGGACCATCTTTGACTAACAATAGAAAACACTGCTACTGCTTAAATGTCTCCTTGAGGCAAACAGACTTAATATTTGAATATGACAACTATTTATTTTTATTAGTGTTCTTTTAAATTGACTGTCTGTACTGATCATAAAAATCCTAAATGGGATCCTTGGGGGTTTGGAGACTTCTGTGAAATAATCAGCCAGGGATAATTACTTGTGGCTTATAACTTTTGGTCATTCCTTTTCCCTCAAATCTCCTTTGGACTGGGTTTTGTTGGCAGTACAAATCATAATTATCATGCAAGATGAGTTTCAGTTGTGCAATAAAAGTTCCATCAGATTTATTTTTCATTATTTTTATTGTGTACAAATGTAAATTGAGTGGTTCAAATAGTAAATTGAATGTATTAACTTGTGCAATACTGATAAGTATAATTTCAACACTCATTTCTTAAATCTTAATAGCTATACCCATCTTCAACATGATTGATTTTATTTGGCTCGTAATGTTTTGAGAAAAGGGATGTAGTTTAGACACAGCCTATGATGCTGGAATAATTAGAGCCAAAGTTGGACCAGGGATGTGATAATGTAAATAGTTAACCAATGAACCTGGACTCATCTGTGTACCTGCACATTTACATACCTCCTTCGTGCCCCCCTTCCCTGCTTGCTGCCTTTGTATCAGAGGCAGCAGCATGGGGATGTGGAGGAGGTAGGCAGAAGCCAGTATGCACAGGGAGCTGGCTTTTTAAGCTGTTTTCCTGTGTGTACCGGCTCCTGCAGAGTCACCTGTCCTTCTCCCTCCCCACTGCCTCTGAGACAGCAGTGCAGGGAGTGGAGGGGAAGAGAGGCTTGTACTTGCTGAAAATCTCAGCAGTTATATGTTTACCAAAATAAAAGCATTTTAACATCCCTTTTAAACAGCTTATCAGTCCTTTAAAACAAAATGATGAATTTAATAAATTCAGTAGGGGAAAAAATGTCCATGATCTTAGATGTTACTTGAAGGTGATCTGAAACTAAAAGTGAAACTGATGCAGTTCAACATAATTTAAATAAGTGATTGCCCTCTGGAATGCATGTGGATTGAAGAATGATACTATTTTGTAGATGAGTGATAGTAAGGAGATATCTGTTATTTAATGAACATATCACAAAATGAAGGTATTCTGGTCTGAGGTAATTATATATAAAATATGGGTGTATAAAACAAACATCTTTGTCTAGTTTGTGCTTAATATTTTTTCCACACTTGAAAATGCAGCTAAAACCATGAACATGGCTAGCTAAGAGTTTGGTCTTGTGAGGTGCTAAGTGCCTTCTTCAACTCTCATTTAAGTCAGTGAGAAATTCTGGGTCTCACCACCTTGAAAGGTAAAGCTCTGTGAGAATGGTTTTGAGGAAATCCAAGACTGGTGCATGGAGATGTATTGTCACGAAGACATAATATTAAATTAATGAGGGACTGACAATCCTATTTATCGTAACTTCTTTGCTACATTAAATAGAAAGAAGACAGACATCCTAATGGTGTCTAAATGAAAGTTATTCCACTAAAAGATATTACTTTACCCCCTTTGTATCTAACCTGGGATCAATATTTACCCTCTTTGTATCTAACCTGGGATCAACATCAATTTACCCCCTTTGTATCTAACCTGGGATCAATCAACACTGCAAACAATGGAAGATATTGAATTTTGCCATCTGAAACAGAAATTCCACAACATGAAGAAGAAGAAAGCCAAACTACTCCCTGTAACACACTTTAAGATCCCTGGGTCCCTACACAGGCTGATCATACTGAATAATGTACCTCTGGCAGCTCATTAAATGCCCAAACACCAAGGTTGTGTCTACATTGGCAAGATTTTGTGCAAAAACTCACCACCTGTCTACACTGGCCGCGAGTATTTGCGCAAGAAAGCATCTATACTGGCATGTGCCTTTGCGCAAAAGGTTTGCTTTTGCGCAAAAGCATCCGTGCCAGTGTAAACGCTCTCTTGCTCAAGAAAGCTCCGATGGCCGGCCATCGGAGCTTTCTTGAGCAAGAGAGCGTTTACACTGGCACGGATGCTTTTGCGCAAAAGCAAACCTTTTGCGCAAAGGCACATGCCAGTATAGATGCTTTCTTGCGCAAATACTTTTAATGAAAAAACTTTTCCATTGAAAGTACTTGTGCAAAATCATGCCAGTGGAGGCGCAACCCAACAGTGTGAGTGAAACCAGAAAATTACTGTGGCCTCAAATTCACTAAGTATGGTGGAAAAACAAACACATGTATTACTTGTAGGTGAACACTTTTCACAAAGTGATCCCTCTGTACCTGACCTTTCAATCCTCATCCTCAAAGGTAACCTGCAGCATACCTTCAAAAGACAAGCTTGGGGAATTTAAAAATCATGGTTTCAGAGACACTTACTTTATTATTTTACAACCATTTGTAGCGTAACTCTCCTTTATCTTATGTCTGCAGAGCTGTTAATTGCCTGCTTTATTTTAAGTGCTTTCTTGCAACATGTTACAAACAAAGTATCTTTGCCACCTTGTATTTAACTGTGACACTCTGGTTGCTTTTTCCAGTCCTGAAGAAGGGTTTCCACCAACAGATGTCAGTCAACAAAAAGATATTAACTCACCTACCTTCATTCCTGGTTAAACACTGGAATAAGTTACCTAGGGAGGTTTAAGAGTAAGTTAGATAAATGTCTATCAGGGATGGTCTAGACAGTACTGGGTCCTGCCATAAGGGCAGGCGACTGGACTTGATGACTTCTCAAGGTCCCTTCCAGTCCTAGTATTCTATGATTCAATGATTTATGTTCAGAAGTTTCAGGGGGTAGCCGAGGTAGTTTGTACAGGTAAACTGAAAAAACAACAAATAGTCTGGTAGCACTTTATAGACTAACAAAACATGTACAGTTAGTTTTTTTCAGTTCATTCATGTTGCTTGTTCTGGAATGCTGTTTTAGTTCGGAAATCTAGTAAGAATATTTTAAAACTTTCTATCTGGCCTAGTGCCCATTAATAAGCATAGTTTAAAACAATCAGACTTTCATGTCTAAATGCTGGTATCTGTATCCATATTTGAGTAGCTAAATAAAGGGCCTGACTTTCAGAGGGATGAGAAAAAGTGTGATAACATGAAAACAGATGAAGTAAATAAAGGATCAAGTTTCTAATAAAACACTAGAGGAAAGTAGGGATAAAAAGTGAGTGGCAGATTAAAGGATAAGAAGACAAATGATTAAATAAATGTAACATTATGTGCAACTGAGGAGGATTACAATAGAGTATTGATGCGGAGTGGCTGTCCCACATTTTGAAAGATGAAAGGAGACTTGACAAAGTACTGATTAGGTTAAAGCCTGAAAACAGTAAGCTGGAAGGGATCTTTTTTAACCCACTGTTCCTAGGGCCTTCTCCAAATTGGGGAAAGTAGGCTACTGCTAAATAGGGCTGCTTGGACAGTTGAGCTATTGCTAAACACCTGGGTCCTTCCCCATGAGAATGAACAACCCTGGAGCACAGACCCTTAACACAGATGCCTAGACAAAACACAGAAGAAAGGGGTTGTCATAGGCCTTTCACTTTCTCTCTCATAGCAACTACAGAGCTCCAAGGGAAAGACAAAGGATGCAAAGTTTCTAGCTGGAACACTACTCTTGGGTTGAAGAACGTGCCCACCTTATTGCATCCCAACTGTGTTTTTTCTGGATGAGTATGGTCCCAATTTTGTTGCAATTGGCCAACAAAATCCAGGCTCAGCCATTTTGGGGGGATTTTTTTCCCCCAATGGATTCCACTATTCCACTGGTAGCTTCTCCTCTGGAGATAGATGACAGCTAATAA